CTTTCTCACGCTATTTAGGGACGGGGATGAAAAGCCGCAACCGTAGAGAAAGGTACTAGCATTTGCCACCAGGATATTGAAGTGGGGCATGGTTCTACGTCAAAGTCGGCTCGCTGCGGATGCGTGAGTATCAGTGCAACCCGAGATTGGTATGGATAGCGCTGTCGATCTAGCTTTCAAGGCTGTTTGCCTTGTTAAAGCAAACGTTCGTGGAAGTGACGAACGGTTTGCAAATACAGAGGTGGGTACCTTGGTCTGTGAGGTTATCAGAAAGTGTTGGAGGTCTGATGATTGCGTTATCTTCGTGAAGGGCGATATTCCAGTGTGTACCTGCAAACTCGCAGATGACGCTGAGCAAGGTTGAGAGGAGGGATGCATAAATCACTCCGTATGTGACGTGTAGAGTAGCGGTAGGCGACTTGTTGGATATTCCATCTAAGCGTTCATTGTGTGTTTCACGACAAATGCGATTCGAATGCGTTGTCGAGTTGTGTCCGTGCGGCGAGCACTGCTCCAATCGACAATTGCAGCTTGGATCGACACTTGTGACCGCGGTGGTCGACTGCGGAGGCAAAGGCGTCGGCATCATCACGCTTGAAGATGTCAAGGTGGGGCGTTTCATTGGCGAATATGTTGGTGAGTTGCTCAGTCGTGATGAAGCGCGGATACGTTGTCATGCGTGGTCAGCTTGTGCGTGTTATCCAAGGTATGGCGCTAACAATATAGTGGCAATCCAGTCAGGGAGTAATCAATAAGCCCCAGCAAACGTACTTGCTGGTTTCGCGAGTGACCACGCGTCAAGGATTGATCGCGATGGCACCAATAACAGCAAAACTTGCAGCATGGTCCAAGCCGCCTAGACGCGCACTACAAGAAGAAGAACGACTCCAACATCTTAGTGACATTACGTTAGCGGGGTTCCACCTGCCAGTGACCGCCAACGTGATCGATTCTTCGATGTGGTAGTCGTCAATCCCAAACCGGAAGCTTAACTAGCCATCACTTTGCTTGAACACAAATGTAAGCCACAAAAGTGACTGAACAACAAACTCGTACCTTACTTATGCGATTCAGATCGTCACCAAGTGGTCAGACTCCATAACGCAACAACACTAAATCCTCGTAGGCGCATAAAACACGCCCACCAGATCTATGTTCGACGAACGCGAAAGCTAAAAGCACAGCCGAGAGCGTGCCAATATATTGATTCACGAGAGACAGAGGCTTTGCGCAATTTGGCATGACGACGTCTACACCCACAAAATACATGCGGGGACATGGGCGACAGCACATCAGTGACGGACAGCTCAGCGACGACCACATGCGGTGACACTTCACGTCCGGGAGGTTCTTGCCGTCGTCGACGATGAAGCAACTACTGCCTCCGCCAACGTGGTAAGCCGTCTTGCGAATACGTCGCCCTTGGGTGTCAACGGGACTTCCTAGTCCTCTCGCTACAACTCATACCGTAGTCGCTGCGTCAGCCAATATGTCCTCTTTCTATAATGAATCCTCTAGAGCTATTCAACGTACTACACCCGCTGTCCCTGTTTGCTGCCAGTCCAATGTCCCGTTGCCCCTCCCCCCTCTTCCCCGCTCGGTGTTCCTACCGTCCGCTGCCCCTGTCCACCCGATATCCCTTGGAGAGAGAGATTCCGCGCTGCCAAAGAGAATTGATCCTCTCCCACAGCAATGCTGTGTGCACTCTACACAACTCAGGTTGCTCGATTGTGGCAACCCAGAAATGTTGTTCGATCACAGAGACTCACCAGTACCCCAAATGATAGTTCTTCGAACTACAAAATAGCGGTGCATGAATTCATCAATATATACATATACTACTTGCTCGGTCCGGAAAAGAAATACCAATTAGTTTTTTTAACTACTTAATTTTTATTGGACAAAATAATTAATGGTCTGAGTGCCGGGCATCTTGCAAACAGGCGTTCCAACTCCTCTAAAGAAGGTTGCCATTTCACGATGGACCAGACGAAGAGCACGAAGGACATTCCCGAAGTCAGGCGAGAGTCCATTCTGCTTTTCCTCGATGAACGTTCGCGTAATGGACGGTTAAAGTGTGGAGCAGCCGTGGCTGCTGCAGCCAAGTATGGGTGTAACCCGCGATGGCTTTCAATCAATGCCATTGCGGAAGGGAAGACGAACTCTATGCGTTCGTTGGAAGATCCTCAAACGGACTTGCTGCGATATAGGCTGCCAAAGTGTCCGCCACCTCACAGCTCAACCCTTGATATATCAACTGCGGTGGCAACCAGCCACTGCACTACTTGGCATGTAGCAACCTCTTGTACTATCCATGAAGTACATAATTCGCTCACAGGGTGTTGCCGGCAGCGGGCTCTAATTATATTCATGGAGAAACACAACAGCCAGTCTAAGGCAACGCGTGGCCGACCGCATTCCAGCGCCATGTCCGCCATCGTGGCAGACCGCCTTATACGCATCTCTGCTACTCCCTACCGCAGCAGCGGTTGAAAGTGAGGCAAACCATCTTGTATGTGACGGTCTTCAGTTTCTCTAATTTGTAGCAAAGCACTAGGTAAATATTACCTCTAAAATTAAGTCTTGAACGATTGGCTGAAATGTTCATATTCGAAAACTGATTTGACATACTCCTTTGGGCACGTAGCTCAGTTGGTTTAGAGCACCGCCAATGTTGCGGAAGGACGCGGGTTTGAGTCCCGCCGTGTCCTTAATTTTTTAGCAAATAAAGCTGAAGATTTAAAAACCATTGAAACCCTAATTGCTTATTTAATTATGACCCCGAACACTTACTTGATGTTTGTATGGAGGGTCATCATTTTTGCATGTAACAACATCATTTTAGGCTTAAAACCTCTGAATAGAGCATAAATGCATGCGTTAGCCAGTGCTGATTATTTGAATGTGCGCTTTGTAAGGGATATCAAGCAAACTTTTTATAATACGCATCATTTCCTGAATCTGGTCAAGTAAACTGAAACGGAGGGAGTATTTCAATTTAACCAGTGGAAAAGGCTACTGTTTGGAATGCTAATTACAGACGTCCGATGTACAATTCCGTGAAGCTGAATGATTGCGAAGAACAGCGGGTTTTAGCTCTTCACCAAAATGCCCTTTTTTCCTAACGTTTCTAAATGGCGATGCTTCGAAATAAAACTCGTTAGGTGCGCAAATTTCGCCTGCATAAGTGCCTTGTTATAGTGTTTTTGCGTGCTGTTAACAGCCCACCAAAAATACTGTAGGCAAGTTCTAAGTAGTAGCTTTCCATTGATAGTATTACGGCTTCGATATATCTGTTGAGTTACGTGAATTGGTCATGATTTTCGCATAGGCATTTCTCCACATATCGCCAACTTTTGTAATTTTGCCTTTTTCTTTGGCTGGCGAGATTGAGGCAGCTCGCGAAGAAAGTGATCACCACCACTACAAGGAAAATATTGACGTGCATTGTGGGCGGGGAATTCGGCGGTGGACGGTGATGGAGTGAAAAGACTCATTTTGGGAGATCTAAACAACTTGGCGAAGAAAAAATAAATTATAAATTGAAGTGAAACGATACTTTGCTCTATTCTAGTCCAATTTCGGCAATTTGACGTGAATTTACAAAACTAGTACTTGTCCGGTCCGGAAAAGAAATCCCGTTTTCCAACCTGGGTTGAATCTCCCGATACAAAAATCAAGCTATTCCGAAATCGACAGACATAAGTCCGATGTCGTACTTTATATGATGTTTAGTGAACTCAAGTGGATGGATCAGTTTTTGGGAGTCGAGGACGATGCCTGACAAGAATAGAACGAGAACGCAAGGAGTGGGCTCGTTCATCAAGGCAGCATTTTTACAGTAGTCACAGAACAAAAGTAGTCGTTGATGGCGTCCAAAGGAAACGAAAAGGAGATCGATTACGTCTCGAAGCAAGCTAACCTCACTGCACAGATCGAGAGTGAGCGCCAAGCTGCCAAAAAATGGTGGGATGAGTACGGCATGTGCTACCTGGAGAACGCGCGGCCAGAAGACTTTACTTACGATAATCGTGTCCTGGCACTCAAGAAGAAACTCGACGATCCCAAGTAAGTGGCTCTTTTAGTTTGCTCTCAACGTCGTAGAACCTGCAGCAGATTCTCACGATGAAATCAATAGATTTCAACATGCAGCATTGCATACAACAAGCACAGATTATGGATGCAGACCGCCGTTCAAGGAATGCAGAAAGAAGATATGAACCTTTAGGTGGAGCAAGGCTAACGTTATAACACTCGTTGGATAAAGTATACGATCGAACAATATGACTGGAATTTGCCCGCCAATTTGTACATGTTCATATCGACAAGACACCATTATATCTTAGCTGCTCTGATATCCTGCGGGGCAAGTACCTGAGATCTCCGCATCATGACACAGGCAAGTGCTTTTCTTCATATTCGATGATCACACACTCAACCGCGACTTCACCCTACCAAAATCACTGCAGCAGATAGAGAATGCAGTAAATGTATTCAAGCGACAGTACATGATGAACTGTTGCAAGGCAAAAATGGAGTCGGTCTAGTTAGTGTATACAACTTGGCATCATGGCACGGCTACGTGCAGGTATCCTGTGGGTCGATTGTCTTCCGAACAACATCGGTAAACGCAGTAAAATACGCCTGTTCCTTGACTTGGTACGCTTCGATAATGCTCGATTTACTTGCAGCAGCCACATCAAACTGGTTCGCGGCCTCGATGAACGTCATGGCGTTCAACTTCTCGTAACTCAGCCCTGTCATCTCCCGGAATTTGCGGATACGGAAGTCTCGTGCAGCTTTTAGCACCGTGATTCCATCGGGAGAATTCACAGTCTCACTGTCGATGATATTGGCAGCCAACTCGGAGTCCGAGGTCATGCTACGTCGATTCCAGTTCGCTGAACCAACCGACAGGTACACGTCGTCGATAATCACAACCTTCGAGTGGATGTAGAGACTTAACTCTTTTTTGGTCGAGTAAATCTGAAGTTTGTTGGGGTAAAGTTTCTGGATGGGGGCAATCATATCGAACAGATACTTGTCGTATCCGGTGGCTTTCGATTCTCCAACAGGACACTGTACCACCACAATGAGGCGCTGGATTGTCGGCATCACTTCCAAAAGTGCGTTAAGCAACTCCGGTACGAGGATGAAATACTGATCCTCAATGTAGATGAAGTTCTTGGCGTTCTTCAGCGCCTTGATACGTGCTTGGAACAGTGAGTTCTCACCGCGCGGTGCGAACTCATTGTAGTGTTTGTACTGACAACTGAACGTACGGACGATCTGCACGTTCTGCCGCCCTAGACTCGAGCTAGTCTTGCTACTCGCATAGTTCAGAGGCGGTAAGTCGGAGTAGGACGGGTTCTCGAAGTCCAGTAGATCATGGGCGAGACTCTGCGTCGGTTTGTAGTCAGAGTTCCAGCGAGCGAGGAAGTTAGCGGCCACATCTTTCGCAGCAGGACCGTGGATTCGAACATGACCATCCAGCCAGCCTTTGTAGGATCCACTTACGCCTGTAGCTTCACGAAGAGCGGACTCGTTGTGGTAGATGGTATCCCAGCGATCCGATGTGATGTCAACACCGCCAACAAAAGCCACAGGGTGTTCGTCAACTCCAGTGGAAGTGTTAGCTGCGATGATCAAATTCTTCTGGTGGTGGGAAGATGTAACAACTCGTGTGCGATCATCGAAGATGAAAAGAGGCTTCTCGCCGGTCGGTGATACTGGAATGGCGTTAATGTCGTCGCGTACCTTGATATTCTGGGATTTATCCAACAGATTGGCCCATACTAGTGCGTGAAAACTGCCTCCTCGTTGTATCACGCCGGAAACCACGTCGTGCAATTGGGACTTCTTGCCGCCGTCGACGTCTGGTTGGAAAGGAATTAGGTCGGTACCCCATCCTGTCAACATCACTCGATCTCCCGTCTTGGAAGATGAGAGATCGGCGAAAGCGGCATCGAAGAATTCTTTAGTGAACGTGTAAGTTTTCACGTCATTTCCCGTCGAGTAAGTGGCCAAGTCGCTTCGAGGTGAACCACCACGAGACGCGGTTATCTCGGCTTCTGTAAGGAACCAATCTGTCGGTGCGAGCAAAGGCTGGTCAACTTTAAGGTTCGATCCATCCGATATATCGAGGCCTTGACGCTCGATGTAGCCGCAAGACAACGATTTTTTCTTGAACTCACACACGTGACATGGTTCACAGATACACAACCGTGTTGCAGCCGAGATCACACTACCAACTTTGGCACACACAACACCAGTGCGAGTAGAAGTCGATGTAGGAGTCCATGAAAGAACGGAAAGTAGTACGAAGGTCACAGCGGAGACTCGGACCATCGTTGATGGTGGCAACTTGATAAATGAGCTATTCCATTGCTTATCAGAGCTTGGGTATTGCCTGAGAGGCACAAATGCTCCCATGTGGCGACGAAATTTCAATCTGTTGGTACGGAAGAGACAAATGTTTTTGCTCGGCTAATTGTGCATTTCGTACCGAATACCAGACTATTATTTTGCTTGCCTGCACCGTATTGATGCACAGTGATAATATGATGCGCTGGTAAGGTTTCTTGGCAAATGTTGTAGTCTCGAGCACCAAGAGTTTTGGTCTATAAAAACTGCAATATTTTGACGTATTAACGCATGGTAATTTGGAGTCATTTGTGCCCACTAACCTAGCGATTTGATACTGTAGTGCAGTTGTAGTTTTTGACAGGTGGTTGATTCCGCCATTCGTGTACAAAACTCGTCGAATTGTAACGTTGTCATCACATAACCTTAGACTTCACCACTTAATCCATCGACTTAAGATCAGACGCAACAGTGAACGATGCCTCGGTACGTTCGCGGATCTCGTCCACCGTAGTCGTCGGAGCGATCTCCACCAGCACGAGACCCTTTCCAGGCACCACGTCGAACACACCCAGCTCTGTGATTATGGTGTTTACCACACTCTTGCCCGTAAGCGGCAGCGAACAGCTCTTGAGGATTTTTTTCGCTCCACCCTTCGCATTGTGCTCCATCGTGACCACGACACGGTTGCCACTGCCTACGAGGTCCATCGCGCCTCCCATTCCCTTGACCATCTTGCCGGGAATAATCCAGTTCGCTAGATCTCCGTTCTCTGCCACTTGTAGTGCACCGAGAATCGTCAAATGCACGTGACCACCACGGATCATAGCGAACGACTCAGACGAGGAGAATGTCGATGAACCGGGCAGGAAAGTCACCGTCTCCTTGCCAGCATTGATCAGATCAGGGTCTTGTTCGCCCTCGTTCGGGTACGGCCCCATCCCCAGCAGTCCGTTCTCACTTTGTAGAACAACCTTCACTCCGTCCGGGACGTAGTTGGACGCCAACGTTGGTAAGCCAATACCCAGATTCACATACATTCCATCCTTTAGCTCCTTGGCCGCGCGACGAATGATGCGCTCGCGATCCGGGGAGATTTTATGCTGCGATTTCTATAAATCATAGCAAAATATACCGTTAGAGTGTGATTACATCTCGTTAGAGCATTGCACGAACCTTGGCATTGGCAAGAGTGAGCTTCTCGATGCGTTTCTCGGTGTTTCTGGCCTTGAAAATGCGTTGGACGTAGATGCTCGGCAAATGAACCTCGTCTATCGTCAACAATACGTTCTGTTAGAGTAATTAGACCCAGTTGCATCTTTATGTAGGTCGTTACCTGGGTGGATATCTCCAGGCTGCACCAGTTCTTCCACTTCAGCAATCGTAATCTGTCCTGCCTTGGCAGCATCCACGTTGAAGTTGAGAGCTGTGCCGCGGAATACCAAATTGCCATCGGTATCTCCCTTCCACGCCTTGACAAGCGCGAAATCTCCAGTAATTCCCTCTTCCATGACATAATTCCGGTCATTAAATTGACGAACTTCTCGTGGGACACTGGGGATATCGATCGACCCATCCGACTTGAGCTTAATGGCAAAACCTCCCTCCTATCATAGAATATTACAAGTCAGAAGTACAGCTCTCAACGTACAGTATTCGCGTATATACCAACCTGGATGATAGTACCGTACGCCGTGGGCGTGTAGAAAGCAGGAATACCGGACCCGCCAGCTCTAATACGCTCTGCAAGTGTTCCTTGTGGCGTGAGCTCCACCTCCAGCTGGCCAGTGAGATAAAGCTTCTCAAAGAGCGCGTTCTCCCCGACATACGACGAGATCATGCGCTTAATCTGCAGGTAAGGGCAAGTGAGTGACTGTAAGACACATACAATCTATGTATCTCCCGTACCTGACGAGTCTGTAGCAGTAGACCCAGCCCAAAGTCGTCCACTCCGGCATTATTGGACACACACGTCAAGTCCTTGGCTCCCTGCTTGACTAGCGCCTGAATACTGTTCTCTGGGATGCCACAGAGACCGAAGCCACCCACAACACTATACCAGAGGTCAGTACACTGGTAAGGACGCTAGATATGGCTACAGTGGACGTACAGCTTGGAACCGGACGGAATGTCCTTCACGGCGGCGTCCGCGTCTGCGTAGACCTTTCCCTGAGAGGAGAAGCGAGCGGTTAGCGCCCGTGAGAGATGCGTGCGTGGAGATCGGAGGTGACGGGCTGTCAGACGCAGCATTACGACGATAAGAATTACTACGGACTTGCGTCTGGCAGCGCACAATGCGGAATGAAAGGCTCGAACTGCAACTTCAACTGCTAAACTCTCGACTAAGTACGGATGCGTCTCATCATTTCGCTTACGACTTTACACGAAAAAGAGTGTACGGACGATGTTTAGCAAGATATTTGTATGCTGGTGATGATTTTTGGGTAAATGCCATGCTAGGAATACGCGTTCTAAATCCGTTCTAAAAAATCAAAAGAACCGAATGACATGCATCACACTTGCACGCAGTCCAATTGAAGTTATGTATTTGTATACATGCATTCTCTTCCCTAGATGTCACTTAATCTCCAGTCTAAAAGTCCTTCTCCGTGAGTAGTGCGATGATCTGGGTCTTCTCGTCCGTGCTGGCCTTGATGGCGCGGCCACGGCCGTTCAGCACGCCGATCTCCACTACGAAGATGCAGGCCGTGACTGAGGCTCCTGCCTGTTGCACGAGGCGGATACCAGCCTCGCAAGTGCCACCGGTAGCCAGTAGATCATCCACTAGAAGCACGCGGTCGCCCTTGCTAACGGCGTACGTCTGGATGCTCAGATGATCGCCGCCCTCGCAGCTGTCACCCTTGTACTCCTTGAAGTACTCGATCGTATCGCTCACGCTAGGCATTTTGTCGGGCTTACGTAGCATGAAGACGCGCTTCTGGAAGAGCGCGCCCAGGTACGGCGCGAACAAGAAGCCGCGCGCGTCGAAGCAGCCAATGGCGTCCACCTGGTCCATGAAGGGCGTTACGGCGTGCACGAACAGATCGAACGTCAGCTGCAGCTTCTCCGGGTTGGCTAGCAGGCCGCCCACGTCGAAGAACTCAACGCCCTTGAAGGGAACCACGGGGATGGTCTTGGCCAGACCGGCCAGCGCCTGCTTCTTGACCTCCGGGTCGTCCAGGTTGAGCTTCGTTGGCGCCATTGTGTAGCTTGGCAAGATCGGATCAAATTCGCTAGTGAGACCGCTGCATGCACGCGTACTGACGGGAAGCACTGGCTCACACACTTGGCGAGAATTCTGGTCCAGTCAGTGACCGCGTTTCGGAGATGACGCGGTCTACCGCCGGCAGGTGGTGTGCATGCGTATCCCTCACACATGTCGCTGTGCCGATGAAGAATGGGGACGCCGTTGTGTGCGCTTACAATGCGCAAGGGTGTTTCTCTATTAGCTTCCAGTTAGCCTCTCTATATAACTTACTCTCTGTATGATGTGAAGGCCTGCGCAGCCCGCCACCTCTGTCAATCGAGGTCGCTGCGCAGCCGTGTCCTCCTCGCCATAGCGAGAATGGGAGATGTAAAGCGTCTTCTTGTGAAGCGCAGTGGTGTGTATACAGCACTCTCGTGCATGTGTGTTGATTAGCGAATAACTCAGTCGTCATTGACAGCGGCGGTGAAGAGGATCAAGCCCTTGTGGTTCGAGTCCAGCAGCTGGCGAAGACGCCCCTGGTTCTTCATGTAGTACTCGTCAGCGAGACGGCGCAGGCGGACGTTCTCCTCGCGCAGCGTCTCCTTGGTTGTCAGCGTGTCGAGGAACATCTCGCGCAGCTTGACGTCGTCTCCTCGACCGGCGGCCCTGGCAGCCTCGTCCTCCTGCTGCATCGTACGCAGAGCCGAGCGGAATTGATGTTCCAAGGTGCTGGCCTCGTCACGTAGAGACTTGATCGTGTTCTATGTTGACACATGGACAAACACACACCGAGTGAGCTCCTGGATTTTGTCGACACGACAACTGCAGTTGAACTTACGATCTTCTTGTAATAGCAGCGCTTCACGATAAGTCTCTGCTTGGCACGACGCTCGGACTCCGAGAGCTCCGGAAACAGCGAGCGCGTGCTTCGTTTCTTGCCGACTGCAGCAGTTTTGTCGAGCGAGGCGCCACTAGCCTCCGTGGGCTCGCCCGGGTTGACAATGTTCCTGATGGTCATGAGCTGCTGCGAGCTGTAGGGCGAGAGTCTGCGTGGTGACCGCTTCATCGCTGCCTTATCCTGGACTCTGCTACATGTAAAGCAATAAATGAGAAAGGTGTAATCCGTTTAACGATAGAATATCCACGTCACGGACCTCGAAAACGATCGCAACCGAGTGGTCTGCGTGCAACGTGGTGACTGCTTGTCTTCCGGACAGGACGCAGCGTGCTCGTCGTCATCAACCATGGACATCATGGCCATTGCAGCCTCGTGGTCTGCGTCAACTCCCGTTCCACGCTCGGGAGCGGAGACAGACCTACCCAATTTCACCTGTGTGGCGTCGGCCCGCTGGGTGTCATCCTCGCCGATGTTATTCAAGAGATCCGCGATGCGCAGCATGGTCCTGTCTGAGGGCGGAACAAAGTGGTGGGGGTGTACACGGGGTGGTGGTGCCCGACGTGTGAGGTTCGCTAGGTAAATAGCAGCACCTGCGAACAGGCGAGCTAAGTGACTGCCACGAGGCAGAATCAATTGTGAGAATATGAGACTATCCGATTCCCCCCATCGCGGCCAGCTCGACGTGCTGGATTGCTAGCGGGTGACATTGACAGCTCTGATCGTTGAGATCGCTCGATTCTTGTCGCGCGTCCGGCGCGAGTAACTTTCGTTTTCGCCACACATCCGCGTTGCTGCGTTGTGCACGGTGGGATGTAGAGCTGACAACACCACGCTCCATGTAGCCATGAGCGCTACACACGAGGGGGGACCATGAAGTGGCCGCTCCATGCAACTTGACAAGTCTCAGTCGCTTGACAACGCTGGCAAAACATCCTGCAATCCGCCAGTTGGATACGTTGTCGGCGCACAAGTTGTCATTCGGCACACCGTTACGTTCAGGGTGAAAGATCGGCAAAGGCTGCTGAATTGATCAGCATTGTTGAGCTCGTGTCCACGGCGGTGAAAGCAGTGGGATATCGGTCTATTCATCGTGCGACTCGGGAGGTGAACTAACTCGACGATCTTACGGGTTCCTCCTACTACTACCCTCAGGGTAGTAGTAGGGTAGTACCCTCTACAGTAACACCGACATCGAGGGGAACGCTTCAGTTGTAGTCGCCTCTATACTGCTTCGGCAGATCTCCAAAGTACGAATTAATGTCGCTCAGCGAGATGACAGCGTTCCAGCGGTGGTCAAGATGGACGGAAGCCATGTCAGCTCTGTTATCCGATCATCACTATACAGTGTAGGGTGCGTGGGTGCGAGTCGCACTTGTTCGCTGATATTGCCAATGCTATCCACATTGTCATCATGAGCTAAGCAGCTCCATGTTGGACATTTCCATTGATTCAATGCATGCATCGCACGGGTTAGAAACTACAGGACGTTCTGTGTGGCGTGCAGCCGCCTCACCGAACCATTCCCTTCAATGGAATAGCAGCGTGGCCACCACGTGGATCCCTTGCTGACCACGCTGCACTTCTGGCCAATCCTTTGGAACAGTTTGGGCGTCGCAGCGCAGGCGGCACAGTGATGATCACATTGCAATACCGAGCTGTTCCCACGTCGAGGTGAGGCCTCGAGGCTGCTTCACTGAAGCCTTCAATGCCTCCACGAAGGCCAGAGATCCATTACCTATGCCGTTGCCTAATTCTATGGGCGTCCAGGACACTGAGAATCCACGCAGCGAACACCAAAGGGTTCCGCTCGGATCGCATTGACAACTCGTGTCACTCTTGACGAGACAGTTCCAACTTCAACAATTCAGCAGGTGCAGTCATTTCGGAACACTTGCAGGACATCGATGCTCGTCAGCTGAAGCGGCGTGTCAACTCAAGCGGCGTTGTCAGCCAGTCAACACTCCACACAAACGCAACACGGCTCGGCCGTCACGTTGAGCAGCACGCTGTTGTAGACGCTTGTTCTTGCTCGGCGACATGGTGAGAGAATCCACTCGAAGCGTGTCAATCGAAAGGGCACAAAGTGGATTAAAGGCGAGCGTGGTGTTGAGTGTCGATCTTTGACTCATGCCGACGGGGTTGTCGATTGTGGGCATCAGACTGGCTGAATTTTGTCTGTCACGCAGCGCCGAAATTTTTCATCGGCTTGGCACGGGGACACGGGCGTTGAGGCTCCCGCAAAGTAATCCTCGTCGTCCGTCGATAGGGTTAGCTAATCCATGTGTGTGGCACCGCACATTGTTGCTTTAACTTGGCAATGGACTTACCCGACGCCTCTACTGGCAGCAGAAAGTTGGATGAGGAGCAACGAGCTAAGAACCGACTCATAGTTAAACGCTGCTATTATAAGAAACTGGTATGAAATTGGCCATCTGTGGTGGAAAATAGAGTTTCCGTTTCTTCAGGCCTTTGGATGGCCTTGGCTTCGTAGTTCTAGTTCATAGACTGACTTGTGTGTGGTTGGTACGCTTAGAACACGCTTAGTGAGCTCCGAGATCAGGTTACGACTTTGGAAGCCGAGTACGAACGCCTTCTAGCGGTGCATCACGAGCGAGATGCACAGCCTTCAAGCGATGCAGACCGAGACGATACTGATGCCAATTTGCACAGAGCATACGTACAGCTCGCTCAAATGAAGAGTGCATTGACTAAGGAGAACGCCGAATTGAAACGGCTCGAGGCTGAGCACGCGATGATGGAGAAGCAGGTCGCACAGTTAACTTCTGTTCACAATAAGGCTGTGGCTGCAGTTCGACAAGCCCAGGAGGAAAAACGCACCAACCCGATGATTGTTGTAAACTCATTGACGCTAGAGCAGTGCAACAGCATAGCGAGTACGGCGTATGAGGAAGTCATGGCCTTCCGACAGAGCAAAACGTGCTTTACAACGGGAACAAATATGTTCGGCTGGAGAGACCGACACAAACTACTCCCTGACAAGCTCATGTTTTCGCTCGAGAAGATTTTTCATGGTCGAACAATGGAAGAAGTATCACAAGGCACATGGCAGGTTCTTTCGCACCCAGCCTCGCTAATGAGCATGTACCCGCGCGACGTGAAGTCCCACTTCCACGTTACCCAGCGTCTCGACGACAACACGGTTATCTACTACCACACCCTGGAGCGTGAAGACTCTGAAGTGCGAGCACGCGCTTTCATATTAGTGATGCTTGTGAACCTTGGTATTGCGGACCAATGTATGCTACTTTACAAAAGCCTCGATCCTAAGTCGTATCTACGACAGGAAGGAGATTTACTGGTTCGCGATCCTCGTGGACGGAAGAAGGTGGAGCCTCAGAAGGAAAATGTCTGGATGGATTCGTTCATTTGGGGCTTTTTCGAGCGTACGGGCGAGAACGGAGAACACTGTAAAGATGATTTTGGTGGAGTGATACAGGGCACAGAGCTAGCAACTGCGGGCTGGTGGTGTCTTGAGATTTTGCAGATTGCCATGCGCATTGAAGCCCAAGTGATAGGGCCACAGGCTCTCCTAGTGCAGTGAACGTGACGTATAGCGTAAGAGCGTTCTAACAAATAGAGATTTTCGTTTTCTGTTTTCGCTTACTGCATCTTGGATTTTGTACTGTTACTGTAGTATATATTACGGTATCCCTTAGATCGAGCTGTGTTTCAGCCAATGGGAGGCCGCGGATTATATTTAGAAAATTGGTGTTTATTCGGCGAGTCTGTTAATTCGAGGATGCACTCTACTCATGCCTGTAAAAGCCCTAGGGACCCCGTAACTTGGCTCTCAACGATCTGGGCCGCCCGTAAAATCTCGATATGCCACCACCGCGATGCCGAAATTGCCGTGCTCTTTAACTCGCCACCGTAGGTATTCATACATCTATCGTCGCCATGCCCTTCGTACATGTTCCACACGAAAGCGTCCAACATAACATTTTCCTTATGAGGCTCGATCTTTTTGCGGCCTCGACGAGTCGCCCCAGTGCAGTCCTCATTGCCCAAGAAATATTTCTTTGGGTCCAACGTGCGGAATAGCAGCAAATAATCCGATCCAACGTTGACACGCATGGCCAAGATGAAAGCTCGAACGCGAACGTCGACGTCTTCGCGCTCTAGAGTGTAGTAATACAGAACTGCGTTGTCGTTCACTCGCTGCACGACATGGAAACACGCGTTCGCATCTGTCGGACTCATGATTGCAACTCGCTCAGGCTGGGAGAGTATTTCCCACATACCTTGTGCCATTTCTCCACACTTTGGCCTTGGTAGACCTTGTCTAAAGAAAACATGAGTTTTTCTTCATTGACGACATGCCGGTCTCGCCATCCAAACACATTCACTCCCGTTGAAAAGCAGCCTTTGTTCTCCCGGAATGCCTTAATTTCACAGCAAGAGGCAGCTCCGATCTCAAAGCACTGCTCTGACGTCAACAAGCTCAAGTGTAGTGAAGGATTCCTTCGTTTGTGTTCCTCTTCTTGTTGCTGAATTGCGATAGCCTTGTTCTGAGCTGCAGTCAGTCGCACAACTTCCTTTGCCATTGCCACGTAGCCAGATTCTTGACGCCTCAACTCAGCATTCTCCTTCATCAAGAAACTCTTGACTTGGGCTAATTCCACATAAGCTTTGTGTAATGAAGTCAGTGATTGCTCCTCATTATTTCCTCCAATTTGCAACTGTGTTGGCTGTGCATCTTGTTGGCGGTGTACCGCTAATACCAGTTCAAATTCTGCCTATAAGCACTGCACCTGACGCTGGAGATCATCAAGGAGGTTCTAGTAAAATGACATTGCACATACACGTTAGTTCCAAGCTGTAATACGGAGGAGTACGCGTGTTACCACCAACCAGTTTCTTGTAGTAGAGGCGTCTAACGCACACCCTATTCTTGGCACGTTCAGTGGCACTCGTCTGGAATCTGTCGCTGAGCATTTTCGTCCACGCGGGGGTAACGGGGACTCTGGTGTGTTTGCGTTTGGTAACTCAATATATTGTCAAGGTTACATTCCATGCTGTAAACCGTACAGTGGAGAGCTTGGGATAGGCTGATGGAGAGTTCAGTATACGCTTATGTATTTAGAATAACGTTATTTCAAATTTAGAAAAATGAAAAGTGAAGACGGCAGACAAACAGGTTTGATTTATCAAGTTGATACATTGGATAGATGAATCTTCAGATCCTCCTTTCCATTGACTCATAAAGCGATCAAATGAAACAAACCTACAGAGAAAACTCTTCTTCCTCAGTTCAGCTCACGTAATATCCGTTTCCAAATGACATTCAGTTTTGGTTTTGTGCTTGCTACGCTTCGTTTTGCGCTCAAAACTCTTGTCCCGCTGGATAGTAAGGTGGTTTGAACTCGTACGGATACTAGTCCGTTAGCTACGGGCTTTTACTTCCAGACGTAGCTTCAGCTGGCATCCTCAGCGCTCGGACCGCTGTTGCACTGAACGACGTGTTGTGATGTAGCACTCTCACCGGTACTTCGGCCACGATACTCTTTGCCAAAAACGGTTTACAGCGAACGACCAGACGATGCATACACCGAAAGAAATGTGTGGATTCGTCTGGGTTTACAGGAGCCTCCTTTTCGTTCTCCACTAACCCGACACTCACCGCCTGTTCTCCTGTTTGACCGGCAGTCGGGCCTTCGACGTGCTGCGTTGACAGCACACGCGTGACCGTCCAGTCCGCTCGTTCGCCCAAATTCCTCAGCAAAACATCCTCAACGAGCTCCACCGAGATAGACTTGATAGAGGCCTTACACGCAGACCCATCCACTAGACATAGGAGCGGAATCACTTCACCCGCAGGGTAAACATCTTTTGGAATCTCGATCGTCATCTGCAGATTGCCACGATTGATACAACACAGCCAATGCACAACTTCCGACGCCGAGATCTCCAGAGACTGTACTGGTGGAGTGATCGTCGAAGGTGCGTGCACAGTAAACTCCTGCTCGGCATTCAAATACGCCACCGATTCGCTGTCTGCTCGTAGCCACACAGTCGCTAGATACTTGACTCGGACACGAAGACGCTCAGCAGTGCCGCTGTAGACGTCGATGAGCTCAAAACTGGACGGTAAATCTGATGGCAACTGGAAGCTGAAACGGTATTCTGATTCACCGGCATTGTAGAACGTTGAAAGGGTCAGCTCAATCTAGTGCATGATACACGGATGTTAAGTGTTCCATTGAATTCCGAATTCAACTTAATTCTTGTCAATACCTTGTGCTGCAGAAAAATCTTGTCGAAAGCGTTCGTGACGGGGCTGTAGCCTCCTTCGTCCCATGCCACCTCTTCACGTCCCTGGATGATCACCGCCAGCGCTGCGCAAAATGAGCGCTTAGTGAGTTTTTTTTTTCTTTCTTTCTTTCCTTTGTTTCGATGTGTCAAACATGTAAAGACAACCCACTCTCTCTCGCTCGCACGAGTTCCAACGTGGAGAGCGACACAGTTCCCGCTACAACCTCGCCTGGAGCATAACTCTCGTGCTCGAGCGCAATGCTTAAGCGTCCCAGCACACCTTCGACCGACTCGCGTTTAGCCATCACTCTTTTGCCAATTCCGCAGTGGAGACGGGGGCGTCGGCATTATTTCCTCCTCTTCTGTAGTCCGCACCCAGCAAATTGGACTCGACGAGAAAACCAGTGGAAAATAACCGGCGAACGTGGCGGATTTTCACGGAAACCGCTTTCTTGGTTCAACGTACTTCTCCGTCGAAATGATGGATTTCGAGACGAATTTTGGCCGAAACCTGCAAATCCGAAGATAAGTTTTAACGACGATAGGCGACAAGGAGAACAACCGAGCAGAGAAGCTTTTAGGCAAGACGTTCGATCTAGTCGAGCACTGTTGCATGATCGTCCGTTACGCGACTACCGACTAGCTTCTGGCTCGAAGATCCTACAGTTTATTAAAGAGCACCTCCAGCACGGACTATTATCGAATTTTCACCTTGATTTACAAGCTCGATGTCGGCACTAACGCTCTCTATGAAGACTCATACCCAGTTGCCAAGGCTCTAAAACATTTGGCGCCATGTGCCGGTGCATGCAAGCGAGGTTTTGTAGTCAAGGTGGCTTGCCCAATCGAGGTTACTCATGTAATAGCCGGACCGCTTAACGGTCGCCGGTCCCACGCCTGGACAGCGCAGTTGACCTTCACGCTGCACGAAAGCAGACGCCGGCGTATTCATGTAGAGCGCTCGTATCTCCATCTGCAGCGCCCCAGACGGCGATGCTCTTGACGCGAGATGTCAAACACTTGGCCTTCATGGCACGAGGCAGGACACGGCGGCTGTATTGGAGTTCGACGCGGATGCTTAGCACATGGCGGTTAGTTTACACCATGCTGGTCTTTGTTCAATAATTTCTCAAAGGTATCAGAAAATCCACACTGTATTGAAACGAAGTTAAACCCTCTGTAATCCGATATGTAATTCTACCAGTAATGTATTTTCACATATCCAGAACCCGTCTCTATCTGAGATTAGGTTCGTACCTACAGACATTAACCACAGTACTCCTCGTCTTCCCATTCTCACTTCCGCTCACTCTTGATTTGGTGCATCAAGTCTCCATAAAAAGCGACCAACACTCCTGCAATTCCCGCACCCACCCCATGGCGTCTCCGTTCCCTCATGCGCCGCTGGCCTTCGAGCTGCATGAGTCTCGGCCAGACTTCCTTCCCGAGGACTGGAGCGATACAGACCAGCAGATCTTCGAGAGTCTGCTGCTACCGTCGCCGTCTTCCTCGTCCCTCGCAGACTCGTCCGACTCGTCCGCCTCTATCAAACCCGAGCCGATAAAGAAGAAGCGCGGCAGTCGCAAGCGCGTGTCTGTGGAGGAGAAGCGCATGAAACATCGAGAGGTGCAGCGTCGCTTTATGCAACGCAAGAAAGAGATGCTGGCAAGTGTCAAGAAGTCCATCATTGCGCTCGAGAAACAGGTGGCTGTGCTCAAACTTTCAAGCGAGCGCGAGGCGTTGGAGACGGAAAACAAGACGCTGCAGCAGGAAGCAGAGGCCAAGGCCGCGCAGCCGGCTGTCGTCACACTGGAAGCTCTCGAGATGATCTTCCAGAAAGAAGCCAAGGCAGTTGAGCAACAGTTCAAACCTTTTACAGTGCAGCAGTGGCAGGAAATCGTATGTCAGACGCTGCAAAGTGTGGATGGCATTCTGACCCAGGAGGCGATGGAAGCGTCAGGAATGAATGTCATGGGCTGGTCTGACAGACGACACGTGGAGAATACCAGTGTCAAATTCACGCTGCACAAGGCCTTCCCGCATATTTGCGCCGAGAATATCTGGAATATCACGTGGCAACGACTGACTACGGACAGCTATGCCAGTTTCTTCAGCCCTTCGTTGTTTATTCGGGTAAGTTGAAGGGGTAAAGTTAGTGGAAATTTCTGGATGGAAAGTCTCATTTTGTGATTTTTATTGTAGAAACACTTGTTGCAGAGAGTATGTGACGACGCGATCATTATCTACCGAGTGATCTGCTACCCTCAGACTGGGCGAGTGTCGCGTGCTATTGAGGTGATTAGCCGAGTGAGAAGGGAACACGACTTCGTCTACTTTGTTCGCACGCTGGACCTGCCTGATGTGAAGGAGCGGGTATGTGCCACAGATGTCTGGACTCAGTCGCTGACGGTGCTGCGTTTCATGCCGAGCGACCCGAATCGACCGGAAGTCGGCTGTGTAGTGCAGTACGGAGGCAACTACGCGAACATTCCCAAGGGCGGCGTCAAGTATTGGCTCATGGAGGTGTTGTTCCTCGTGCTACGATTCGAGTCGTCACTGATCTCGCCTATGTTTTCCCTTAGCAATTGAGTCTGTCGCTATATCTGTTTTGTTTTATTCACCATCGACTAATAGATCTTTAACTTATACGAAGTAGAAAGTTGTTTATGAGTTCTTTTTTTCGACGTGCTAGAAATCATCAAGATGTGATCTGAGACCTGGGCTTACAGAAATCGGATTTTATCAAATAGCGTAATTGGATAACGTCCTGGCGCCAGCTGGTAAATGCAGTTGCAATTGCCATTTGCCAAAAGTCTTCCAGAACTGTCAGCTGCAAGATCTGATCAAGCCAGGTGGTTGTATTTGCTTGGCCTGTTAATTTAAACTGCTTTCTCGTAGATAGCCATTGCTGAATTTTGTCTCGATCACTACAAATGGAAACTCGCTCGGCTTGCAGCTCCAAGGCCCACGCCCAGCGTCAATATTACGATAAGCTGGTACGATCTTGGTGTTTTTGTAACGGAATTTTAACACCGTGCTGACATAATTTGCCTTTGTTGTGTTCGTGTTGGCGCGTTAGAGCAATCTCCAATTCCAAGTAAGCTCATTGGAGAGCCAATATGATCAGCTTCTCAAGACATTCCGTCGATTAGATGTACCACCCGTGAACGGAATCGACAAAGTCAACACCAAGCAAAAGGCTCTCGCATGTATACTTAGAAGAGTGCACAAGCAACTGAAAATGATGCGAAGTGCCCTAAGAGAGGAAACTACCCGGGTGATATGCGTTCGAACTACATGTACAGCAGCAGACCGAAAACGTCGCTACAAGTCACCAGGAGTCGAGCTAGAGCGTGGAGTACACCGCACTAACAATTTATCCCAGGGAGAAGTCTGTTCCAGAGTTGGCCACCGAGACAGCAGGCCACGTAAGAAGTAAAGATTGAGAAGCGGGAATTGAAGAACATTTGAACCGTTAGCTGCAAGTGCAAGTAGTATTAATCCTTGTCAAGCACTGAGAGTTCACTCCTGACTGACCAGAAGTTGCCACCACACCGACTGGGTGTGGTCGCCACAGTGACGACGTCAATGAAGAGTGACTTGGTCCTGGTGGCAATGACTTTATGGAATAATTCGGCGACGAAGGACTTCTCGAGCTGATCTGCCGTGAAGAAGTAGTCTTAATTTTTTTGGCATACTTCCATCAAATTATTGGTAGTCTGAAAATAATTAGCATATCAAATTATCACGTTTGGGCAAATATCGCATTAGGAACAGATTGTGATATTTCGTCCGCTCCACATGCCGATGGCGGACGTCGCGCCACCGAGCAAGAAGCAGCGCCGCAAGCAGGAGAAAGCTCGATGGCTAGCGGAGCGCAAAGCTGCGCGACACGCTGAGGGCATCGTGTCCTCCAAACGGAAACGCCGAAATCAGCGTCAAAGTCGTGCGACGGTGAGTACAACTCCGTCCGCCGCCGTCCACTACCAGGAATGCACGTCCGCCACTTGTGACAATCGACTGGCTGGGAGCCTCTGCGTCGTCCGCAGCATCGAGCCGTACGTGCATCGCTTTGCGCTGTTCGCTAAAGGCCGTTGGGCAGGTCGCAGCTTGCGTGAACTATTTGTCAGCGAATTCCCGACCCTCTCGACCGATTACTGTGTTCGAGCAGCTCAGCTTGGACTCATTCGAGTAAACGGAGAAGTGGTGGATCTGGACACGGTGGTCAATGGTGGAGATTTCTTCGAGCACATTAAGCATCGGCATGAGCCTAGTATTCATTTGCCTGTGGAGATTTCCACGGAGATATCGACGATAAAATCGCTGTCTAATACATGGATACACTTGGAGACGGACGAGTTAGTGGTGGTGGATAAGCCCTCTGGCATCCCAGTGCATCCGACCGGGGGTTTCCAGCTCAACTCATTGACGCACATGCTGCAACATGATCGACGAAAAACAACGGTAGAGGAGGAAGTTGAGACGTTGGAACTCTTTCCAGTGCATCGACTGGATCGACTGACGTCTGGTTTGCTGATACTTGCCAAGTCAGCGGATAAGGCTCGCAGTCTTACAGCTGAGCTGACAGCTACTTCGTCGGAGGAAGGAGCTGGCAGTCGCTCAGTGCAGAAATATTATGTAGCACGAGTGGAGGGCGAGTTTCCTGATACAGAAGACGGGTTTGCAGGTGTCGAGGGGCTTAGTTCTGGACTTGTACAGATCGAAAGCGCAGATGACGGATTCTGGCGCGTGGATGCCCCGATCGGCTTGAAATCGCCACGTCAAGGGCATGTGCGGTGTGTAATTGAGTCTGAAGATTCCAAACCTTGTGTAACGCTAATGCGTCGATGTGGAGAACCTGTGGATGGTGAAAGTATCGTAGAGTGTCTCCTTGTAACGGGGCGAACGCACCAGATCCGAGTGCATTTACAGCATTTAGGCTTCCCGATTGTGAACGACCCAATGTACGGATCTGTGAAAGGAATGAAGGCGATGGAGTCTACATCCCAACAAGTTATGCGCAATGTTGCTGCAGCTGCTGAAAAGGCTTTTGACAACAAGAAATTTGAAGGTGAAGATGATGAACATCGATGCATTCGCGTTTGCGAAATCTGCACAGCTAAGATGCAAGGAACTTTGACGATAGAGGAGGAGGATACAGTGCTGTGGTTGCACTCCTACCGATATGAATCACCAAATTGGTCATTCGAGGTGCCCCTGCCACACTGGGCCACGCTACGCAAAGCAATAAATTCATAGGGTATCGAATCGTATTTCTTAGACTAACATGCAAAAAAAAAAAATGTTTTTGTTTTGATTACAGTGCTGGCCATAAATTTGTGCGGACCACTATTTTGCAAATAATTAGGTCAATTTGAAGCAAATAAAGCCAAAATTGAGTAGAATTGCTATTTAAACGAAGAGCTATGGAGCATACAATTCTTTTGGCGTCCGTGGTTGTAGAGATACAGGAGTGACCATCACTCTTACACTGGCCAGAAGTCTGTGCACGCGCAAATTTCCCGCCAATACTCTTGTTCTAGGGCGTTCTAGAAGCTTGAAATACCTTTAAAATACACCCTAGCGTCTCAGCTTTCGTTGGCAATGCGTCAGACAGTTTAAAATTGGATACGAGACCAGCGAGACATGCACAAAAGCACCAAGTTTACTGACGTCAAAAAGGGGACATTCCTTGGCCTTCGGGAGGCTGGATGAACATTTGTTGCGATTGACAAGCTTCTGGGACGGTCGGCAACGGGTGTGGACACGTTCTGGAAGAACAGGGAGTGCCATGGGAAGGCTAAGCGGACTGGGAGGCCGAGCAAGATGTCAGCAAGGACACATCCACAGATAATGTTGAAGGCAAAAAAGGGTGAAGGATCGTCGAGTGGAGTGAAAGCGGCTCTAGGATTGAATGTATCAGCAACGTACTGTGCGGCGTGTACTTCAAAATGCTCCCTTCATGGGCTTCGTGAAGCGCACACGTACTCCTATGCTGAAGGCAAGTCATAAGTTAGCTCGCCGAAAGTGGGCAAAGGTCATGATCAGTGCACGTACCGATTGGGACCGCGTTATCTTCTCAGACGACAAGAAGTTTAATCTTGACGGTCCTGACGGCATGCAATACTATTGGCACGACCTACGGACCGAGAAAGACACCTTCTTGAGTCGACAGAATGTTGGTGGTTCGGTTATGATTTGGGGTGGATTCTCGTCGAAGGGTACGACCGATATAGCGTTTCTATCTGGGCGACAAAACTCCTAAGACTACCAGGGTATGCTTACTAGCTACTTGCTGCCCTTTGGTTAAGGCATGCATGAAGGAAGCTACATCTTCCAGCAAGACAAAGCCAGCATACACTCGTCAATGAGTACAATGTCATTCTTTAGGGAGCTTAATGTGTCTGTTTTAGACTGGCCAGCACTTTCTCCTGACTTGAATCCTATTAGAAACGTTTGGGGCATGCTTGGTCGTGACGTTTACTGCGGTGGAAAGCAGTACACGTCGGTTGGAGAGCTCAAGGTTGCTATTCGCCGTGCATGGGGCCGTTTTAAGCTGGAAGGAATGCGGAAACTGTTTGATTCGGTTCCAGACCGCGTCAGCGCCGTTCTAGATGTAACGGGGTACAATACCGTAAGTGTACCCAAGTTACATGAAGAATGCCCAGTCACTCTTGAGATACCTGGTACATGGTACCAGGGGCTCTAGGAGCCAATCATTGCATATCTACCTAGATTCAGTATAGGTAACTTATAGTTTGTATTAGATAC